CAGATAGAAACTTCAGTATGGCAGAATTCCCATGTGCAATTCATTGTGAGTAGCACTGAAACGCATGTAGTGTGAACTGGCCCTTAGAACATTTTGGTGTATTGCCACCCATTCATTTAGGTTCCCTTAATGCAACGCAGCACAGCATCGGGAAATTGTAATTCTAGCCTTAGATAAATGAAGGATAGTATGCATTCATGTGACTAAGATGCAATGGGGTTAATTTACTAATGGTCAATAGACTGTACTTTGCAAGGCAATTTTCCCCAGATCTTAGTGAATGCAGCAAAGCTCTCCTGTTTTCATCAGCCAATCATATGCAAGCAAACATCTTTTTTTATATCTTCCTTGCACAGGATTGGGTATTTTACAAAGTGAAACTTCACCACACTCACTAAGGTTTAGGGTAAATTTCCTTGCAAGGTGCAACTTCCTTTCAAAAGGAACAGCCTTTAGCAGATCAAACCCAATGCACACGGTTGCAATGCAGTGGCGTTGTTTTTAGGGGTTAGTAGATGCTATCTGCCTGTATCCGGGGTGATCATCCATCCCTAACTGCAGTAACAGCCTAATGTGTGGATACGCATGAACAGCTGCTCCTCCTCTTCTTAAATTGTCCACATCTTATCTCCTGATAAGACAGACTGAACCTGTAGCCATTCTGCACATGCTCAGTTTAGTGTGTATTGCTAGAGAGGTTTGTTTTTTTTCTTGGGAGAGTGCATGTGATCAGCACAGGGCCAATTAGCACTGTCCAGACAGAGGTCAGGGGTTTTGCATCCTCCTAGAGCAGAAAGAAAACTCCTCCAAGCTTTAACCAGTGCTCTGCTGAACACTGATAGAAGTCACAAGACTGCACTGCTGATGAGAAAAGGTATTTAGCAGTTTATATTTACTAAAATAATTGCACTTCCATTTTTCTGTGAACTGTGGGAGACCAGATATAGTGAATGCAGAGTCCTGGGTTTAGTAACACTTTAACCAGTGCTCTGCTGGACACTGATAGAAGTCACAAGACTGCTCTAACTGCTGATGAGAAAAGGTATTTAGCAGTTTATATTTACTAAAGTAATTGTATTTCTATGTTCTGTGTACTGTGGGAGACCAGATATAGTGAATGCAGGGTCCTGGGTTTAGTAACATTTTAACCAGTGCTCCACTGGACACTGATAGAAACCACAAGCCTTTTCTAACTGCTGATGAGAAAAGGTATTTAGCAGTCTTTATATTTACTAAAATAATTGCATTTCCATGTTGTGTGCACTGTGGGAGACCAGACATAGTGAATGCAGGGTCCTGGGTTCAGTAACACTTTAACCAGTGCTCTGCTGGACACCGACAGGAACCACAAGCCTTTTATAACTGCTGATGAGAAAAGGTGTATAGCAGTCTTTATTTACTAAAATAATTGCATTTCCATGTTCTGTGTACTGTGGAAGACCAGATATAGTGAATGCAGGGTCATGGGTATAGTAACACTTTAAGACTTACTATCTTTTAAGACTTGTCATCTATTAAAACATTCTTTCTGTAGTAATTTCTGTACAATATTTGGCAATCACTGTTTTTGCCTCCATAGTAAGTTATAGAGTTATAAATAGTAATTTATAAATTGTTATAAAGGTTAGATGATATCTTTCAAGTATAGTTATCGATACTGTTATTACAAATACTCAGTAGATAATAACAAGCAAGGTATGGCAAAGAACAAATGAATGGAGGGTCTGCATGATTAAGGGGAGAAATAGGTCCAAGAGACAGGTAAATTGTTTTTTTAGGATGTGGAGGTGAAGGTCAGATGAGCAGGGAGGAGACAAAAGGCTTGCTCCTGTGGGGACTGTGGGACTTAAAGCACAACTTTACCCATAACAACTTAACAAAAAAATAATGTTCTTCAGCAAGGAACATACATTCCACAGTAATAATTATGCTACCAAAATTACTGTGTGCTGTATATTGCCTCCAGCAATATATATAATGCCATAGGCTGCCATTTTGCCGAAGCCCAAACCCCCTGAGCATCAGTAAATGTTTAGGCTGTCAGCAGATTAACCTCTAGATTTTTGGCAGTACCAAAAAATAGAGAGAAGTGAGCATGTGCAGAGCAGGGTGAGACACAGGGCTTTGAACAGTATAGGCCAGTGATGGCGAACCTTTTTGAGCCCGAGTGCCCAAACTGCAACCCAAAACCAACTTATTTCTTTCAAAGTGCCAACACTGCAATGAAACCTGAATATCGAGCTTTTGGTTTAGAAAAAACAACTTCGTACAGTAGTGCAAACTAATTAACAGTACAGGGATGACCAGAGACTGCGGACAGTACAGGGATGACCAGAGACTGCGGACACAGTACAGGGATGACCAGAGAGGGCAGACACAGTACAGGGATGACCAGAGACTGCGGACACAGTACAGGGGATGACCAGAGACTGCGGACAGTACAGGGATGACCAGAGACTGCGGACAGTACAGGGATGACCAGAGACTGCGGACACAGTACAGGGATGACCAGAGACTGCAGACACAGTACAGGGATGACCACAGACTGCGGACACAGTACAGGAGATGACCACAGACTGCGGACACAGTACAGGGATGACCAGAGACTGCGGACACAGTACAGGGATGACCTTTGCGGACACAGTACAGGGATGACCTGACTGCGGACACAGTACAGGGATTTGACCAGAGTCTTTACAGGGATGACCAGAGACTGCAGACACAGTACAGGGATGACCAGAGTTGCGGACACAGTACAGGGATGACCAGAGACTGCGGACACAGACAGGAGATGACCAGAGACTGCGGACACAGTACAGGAGATGACCAGAGACTGCGGACACAGTACAGGAGATGACCAGAGACTGCGGACACGTACAGGAGATGACCAGAGACTGCGGACACTGTACAGGAGATGACTTTATTTACCTAAAATAATTGCATTTCCATGTTCTGGGGTACTGGGGAAACCAGAGACTGCGGACACAGTACAGGAGATGACCAGAGACTGCGGACACAGTACAGGAGATGACCAGAGACTGCGGACACAGTACAGGAGATGACCAGAGACTGCGGACACAGTACAGGAGATGACCAGAGACTGCGGTACAGTACAGGAGATGACCACCAGAGACTGCGGACACAGTACAGGAGATGACCAGAGACTGCGGACACAGTACAGGAGATGACCAGAGACTTGCGGACACAGTACAGGGGATGACCAGAGACTGCGGTAAGTACAGGGGATGACCAGAGACTGCGGACACAGTACAGGGGATGACCAGAGACTGCACACAGTACAGGGGATGACCAGAGACTGCGGACACAGTACAGGGGATTACCAGAGACTGCGGACAGTAACAGGGATGACCAGAGACTGCGGACACAGTACAGGGGATGACCAGAGACTGCGGACACAGTACAGGGGATGACCAGAGACTGCGGACACAGTACAGGGGATGACCAGAGACTGCGGACACAGTACAGGGATGACCAGAGACTGCGGACAGTACAGGGATGACCAGAGACTGCGGACACAGCACAGGGATGAACCAGAGACTGCGGACACAGTACAGGGGATGACCAAGACTGCGGAACAGTACAGGATGACCAGAGACAGCGGACACAGTACAGGAGATGACCAGAGACTGCGGACAGTACAGGAGATGACCAGAGATGCGGAAAGCACAGGGATGACCAGAGACTGCAGACACAGTACAGGAGTTGACTGCTGACCTTTGGGGAGGGAGGGGGAGCGGGTACTGAATTTGACAGGTACCCGCTCTTACTTCCGCAGAGTTTTTTTTTTATCTTACCTGTTCCTTTATCCAGCCGCGCGCTGTCTTCCCGGCTTCTGTAGTGTGGGCGCTCGTCGGACAGCCGGATGCCCAGTGCGCATGCGTGAGAAGCGCTGCGCTTTGTGATTGGTCCGGCGGCTTCTGGGATCTGTCATGTGTCCCAGATACTGCCTTACCATTCACAAAGAGCACTGCTTCTTGCGCATGTGCACTTGGGACCCGGCTGTCACGCACACTACAGAAGCCGGGAAGACAGCGCGCCGCTGGATAGAGGAACAGGTACGGTCCCACTGCAGAGCTGAGCGGCCGGCCCGGTATTCTGACACGGCGGCGGTGGAAATACCGGACCGGCCGCTCTATATTCGCTCCATAAGACGCACTGACATTTTTCCCCCCTTTTTTGGGGGAAAAAAAGTGCGTCTTCTGGAGCGAAAAATACGGTATTCTCCTGGGGTGCCCACAAATAAGGCTCGGCGTGCCGGCTGTGGCACGCGTGCCACGGGTTCGCCATCACTGGTATAGGCACTTGTTTTAAATGTTTTACATAGCTATACCTGTAAAAGGGGCCAGCCTGAAATGATCTAGTCGGACTTAATTCATTTTCTGACTAAAGTTTAATTCTGGAAAGTGCAGAGGGATCATTTTCCCACCACCCTTCATTTTAGGTTTTAAAATTACTTAGCAAGCAAAGGATAAAGGGGCAGGTTACAGGTCAACCTGGTCTACCAGGGGTCAACCTGGTGGGATGGTGCTTCCACTTGGTGGTTCTGGTGGTTCCTTCGGGAGCTAAGTCCCGTGACGTAAAGTTAGAGTATGTAAACCTGGTCTCATGTTCAATGTGGTGGGGTGCAGCTTAGGACAAAGGCTATTCTAGTTTAAATAGTGTGTTTTAAGGACACCCCAAAGCCCCACTTTCCAGTAACATCATCATCATTGCTCAGTGATTGTTACTTATTGTTGCTTTTCTTGTAAATAAAAGGATTCTGTCATCATGTAAGACTCACGCAGTTCCTGCCTTTGATTGAACATAAAAAAAGAACCAGGGATTGTTGAATCCTTTAGTCATATTAAACAAAATAAATATATATGTCTGAGCTAAAACACTTCATCACCCCCAGAAAGCGTGGTACTGTTTATGCAATCTTAATGAGAAAGAAACCCTATTCAGTTTGATTGACCATGCCGGTGGCTTTGTCTGTACAGGGAAACAACTACAGTTATCCTTGGGGCCCATGATATATCTGAACCTGAAAGTAGTCAACAGATCTTGGGTGTGGAGAGCTATCACGTTCACCCAGAGTATAATCCAGAATTGACAAATAATGACATCATGTTGTTAAAGGTGAGAAGAAAACTTTTATTTTTTAACCACTTGCCCTCCTGAGGATTTACCACCCCCCCCCCTTCCTGACCAGGCCATTTTTTGCGTTACGGTGCTGCGTTACTTTAACTGACAATTGCGCAGTCATGCAATACTGCACCCAAATGAAGTTTACGTAGAGCTTTCTTTTGGTGGTATTTGATCGCCTGTGCAGTTTTTAATTTTTTGCGCTATAAAAAAAAAAAGACCAATTTTGAGAAAAAAAAAGAATATTTTTGACTTTCTGCTATTAAGCATGGCCAGTAAAAAAAATGTAAAAAAATCAAATTTCGTCATAAATGTAGGCCAAAATGTATTCTGCTACTTGTCATTGCTAAAAAAAAAAAATCCCAATACGTGTAAATTAATTGGTTTACGTGAAAGTTATAGCGTTTACAAATGGTGGTATAGATACTGGTATTTTTTTTTGCTACTAATAATGATGGCGATCAGCGACTTATAGCGGGACTGTGGTGGGCATTCTGACACTGGGGGGAACTGACTTGGTGTCACTGACATCCCCAGTGACACGAATACAGTGATCAGTGCTAATAAAAATCACTGGCACTGTACTAATGGCACTGGGCAGGAAGGGGTTAACATGTGGGGCAATCAAAGGGTTAATTGTGTGCTGTTTTACTGTGTGCTGTGTTAGTGCTTTCAACTGTAAGCACACTGCTTTGCATGGCTCTGCTATGCAGAGCTATGCAAAGCAGTGTGCAGGAACTGGCGGGAGAGAACTGTATTGTTTACACTGGCTGGGACCCTGTGATTGACAGCTGAGGCCACGAGCAGCGGTGTGGGTAGGGCGCGCGCGCACCCCCTGCCCGGAAATGCAAAATCACACATATATATATATGTGATTTTGTGCACCCCTGCCTCCCTGTAGAAGTATATCTGCTATAGGGCAGTGGGAAAGCGGTCAAGTCATAAATTGAGGGACGGGGATGAAGTATTCAGGTATTTTGGGTTATGATGCTGCCTTCAGGAGATTGGACACTGGTAAGGACAGTCCAGTGTAACCCCTCCCACTTTAAGCCTGTCTCAGGTTTTTTGCAGAGCGTCCAAGGAGAAAAAATGTATTCTTTTCTCTAAGAGAAGAAAAACCTTTTCTTAAATAAAGAGTCCTTTTTTTTGTCTAGTACATATTTTCAGTAGATGGAAGAACAGAACAGGTTCATTTTCAGCTTTCAGGGTTGACAGATCCTCAGTATGTTGTACAGTCAGGGGATCATGGGGCCCCTGTGTCCTTGCTCAAACTCAAAAAAGCCTATGAAAAAGGTACCAGGGGCATCTCATGGGGCCCCCTACTGACCCCCGGGCCCTCGGGCCCTCGGGCAGTGCCCAAGTTTCCAAATGGTCAGTCCACCCCTGGTACATAAACAGGTCACCCTTTCGGATGATGTGGGCTCTCCCGGGGCCATGCAGTCTAAGCACTAACTAGTCTTCACCAGAGCTTGTGATGGTGGATATCGGTTTCGTTGAGTGCTAATGCCAGGTCGTGGTCTTCAGGATCACCCCACCAGGAGGTGAACAAGCTGGGGTCTGGTAACAGATGTAGCAGGTAAGTATCAAACATAAGTGTAGTCAGTAAACAAGTCAAAGGTTGGTAGCAAGTGCTTGCAAGTTGGGAGCAGGTGGAAGCATAGTTGAGCAACAAGTCAAAAGTCGGTAACAAATGGTAGCAAAGATAAAGGCAGTTCCAGGGTTTGGACAAGGTCATTTAGTGCCCAGGGCAAATATGGGCCAGAGGAAGAAGGTGAAGTGACCATATATTTACATAATTTGCAAAATGGGGCTTTAAATATGCCTCTGGGAGCCACACTTACACAATATTGTACATTAAAACATAGACTTCATTACAAATGCTATTGTTTAAAATATCAAATTAATAATCAACATAAAGATTAAAAGACAATGCTTATAAAGAGAACTTTAGAAGTCACAGAAAGATGGGACAATCCCACCGATGTCCCAAGTTCTTGGATCAGTTGTAGGTCTACAAGTTTTGCAAGATCACACTGCTTCATCAGGACCATGTGATATTGCATGAAACTTATGGTTTAATAAGGCAGTCTGCAAAGCTGGGCTATGTCGTAAGAACTGGAGTACCTTCTTTTGACAGTAGTTTGCCTTATTAAACCTAAAATTGGCCAAAATGTAACCACAAGATCTGCAATGATAAAATTCAATAAGGTTTGCCAGATTTTGAACAAGACCTGCAGGAATCTTGGTGAATCAATCCAGATTCATGTATGACTATTGATCATATGTCACTTATGATGTTTACTAATCAGTCACCTTGTGATGTTTACTAGTTGGTCCTAAGGGACTTAGTCAAGTACTGTTCTTTTTACTGGTCTTTTTACTTCCAGCTCTTGTCCCCAGCCGAGATAAATCGCTATGTGCAGGCAGTTGAACTTCCAGCCAGTAACACAGACCTTCCAAAGGACATCCCCTGCAGTGTTGCAGGGTGGGGACTGATTGACAAGATCCATGCTACTGACAAATTATTTGAGACCAATGTGACTATTGTAAGCCGAAGATTGTGCCACCGCTATTATCATGATCTAACTGATGGAATGATATGCGCAGGGAGCAACGAAAAAAATCACAGACTCTAGTCAGGTAATGTAATGAAATCTTTTCACGGAAAGGAGAATGCCAGTCCACACTCCAGGGTCCACACTTTCACACTGCAGTAACACAATTATCCTGAATAGTGCACTTTGCCCATGGACCTGTGTTACAGCACAATGTATGTTGTGCTGCACTGCATTCACAGAATTGCTGCACGCACCTTTTGTTGTGTTATTATTCAAATTAATGGACTGCCTTTACAGAATGCAAGCTAATGCACAGATAAGTACAAAAATACATAGACTGCGCTAGTAAAAAAATATAAAAATATATATATAACCGTGACAAAAATATATTATTAAAATATAATAAATCATGTAAAACTCCCAAAAAACAAAAATATCAAAACAAAATCATATCCAACATATAAAGTCCCAAAAGTATATAATAGTAATGATGAAAAAATTCAAACGAAATCCACCAAGTGTATCCACCACCGAATAAAATGAATAAACTCACCAGAGCAATATGCTGATCATATTATAAACCAGCATAAACACTTTTCTGCTCTGGGAGTAATGATCTGTAGACAGTTGAGACAGAAGCTTGGCTTGGAAAAATGATCTCCACTACACCTGGAGCAATACTCTGCAGGAGACTCTGTAGATCACTCTTCTAAGTGTAGCACACCCTTGGGTGAACTTGGCTAGATATATAGTTTCATCTCCCACCTGAATCTGGTGACACCTCCAATTATACCCAGAACACTTCGACACTCTGAGAATATTTTTTATGGGTTTTATTGAAGAAGACAAACCCTGAAAAAGAACTAGTTGATTTAACACAGGTAATGTACATAAACCACAGATACCACTTTGCATAACACAGTTAGTAAGAAGTCACAATGCACTCGCCAAAGACTCCAAAAACTGACTAGTATCACACTGACTAGGGTGACATATGAGAGTGACATTGACACATGAACAATAACTGTTAATGAGGTTTAGCAGCTTATTGACATTTTTGCTATAGCAGTACAATCTAGGGTAGAAATGTCCTACCTAACCACTGGCCAGTGGGATGAAACTTAAAGTCTCTCAACGTTGGGGCCCTTTAATCAATGGAAGAGCGCTCACTCTCTGCATGGGAGAGTATTTGTAATCCAGGGGTAGCAGGATAGCACAGTCTCCTTTAACCTCTTGCCGTCCGCCTGCTGTTTATAAACGGCAGGGCGGTGGCAGTCCAGGGTCGGGTTGCCATCCATAAACGGCACCCGCCTTTTCTAGCTGTGCGCGCTCCCTGGGAGCGCGCACCACCGCGATCCGGTGCCCGCTGTGTCCTCCGGACACAGTGAAACACCGATCGTCAGACGGGACCTCTGTACGAGGTCCCGATCATGTGATCACTGATTGGCGAATCAGTGATCACATGCAAAGTAGTAAGCAAGATGTCACTTGTGACATCATTGCTTACTACGTGTGAAATCTGTGAATGATCACAAAGGTCACATGGTACAAGGCTATTCATAACAGCCTTGTACCATGTGACAAGCTGTGACCACTCACAGCTCACTCAGTAATTCTCAATGACTGCAGGAATGCAGACACAGAGAAAGAGAAATGATTGCTTTTACATCCTATATGGGTGTAAAAGCAATCAGTGTAAAAAAAAAAAAAAAAAATCTTCATCACCCCCCACAAGTAGTACAGTGTCACCATGGTGACAGTGTACTGCTAGGGTGACAGTATGTAAAACAAAATAATAAAAATAAAAAAAATAATAATATAAAAAAAAAAATAAAATGTAAAAAAAAAATGTTTAAAAATTATAATTTTTGGTTTATAAACTAATTTGGATTTTTTTTTTTTTACTAAAAAAATAACGGAATAAATTTTGGCTAAGATTTTATGATGAAATATTATTTATTTGCAAAATTTTATTTAAAAAAACACTTTTTTTCAAAATTTTTGAACTTTTTCATTTACATAGTAAAAAAAATAAAAATCCCAGCGGTGAATAAACACCACCAAAATAAAGCTTTATCTGTCTCAAAAAAATGGTAAAAAATTCATATGGGTACAGTATTGCATGACCGCGCAATTGTCATTCAAAGTGTGATAGCGCTGAAAGCTAAAAATTGCCCTGGACAGGTAGGGGTAAAAGTGTCCGGACAGGAAGTGGTTAAGCAGAATCTTCCAGTGAACATTGCAATAGAAAAATAACACTTCAACAAAATCTTTACCACACAGGTGAAATTCTGATATACTGACACTTGCTCAGTATATTCAGAGCAGCAAGCTTCTGTGGGGACTTGGAACTAAACACACTCTTCAGCCACAGCACAGGTCTTGAGGAGACAAACCAGTAATATACAGAGACAGAGTTCTCTCATCAATCAGCAGGAATAGCTAATTCTGAGCAGCTTGGGCTTTCCAAGATCTGTGTCACTCTGAGAATTAGAGAGCAGGCTTTCTCATGACCATTCTCCAGAGATGAACAGCAAATGCAGCAATATCAAAATCCCCTTTCATCACAGAGTACTCACTGTTTCTGGATTGTCCTCTAGATAGCATTAGACAGTAGTAGAAATCCTCTCTCTTTCAGCAGCTCCAGACTTTGAGAGACACATGCACTTGAGTGGCTGTAATCCTGAGTGTCAGGCAGGACAATCCTTGGTTTGCACACTGTCCTCCTGCAACAATTCCTCTGCTACACATTCCCAGCCCAGCCCATGGGCTCTAGCAGCACAGAGAGTGAGTCTCTTATGACTTTACACCAGGAGCCCTTGCTCCATGCGGTCCCCCCAAAATGTCTCCTTCTCCACATGTCTTCTTCTTCTTTTTTCCTCTCTCCTTTCCTCCACAGCCAATCATAGGTCCAGCTGCAACAGTGCTGCTATGGGTGGATCCTTCTCAGCTGTAGCAACCACCAATCAGAGCACAGTCCTGCTTTCCCTGTCTGTCACTCACAAAGAGGGAAAAGAAAAAAAAATGCTTTGCAACTGCTGTTTAAGATTTAAAGCAACCAGCACATCTTTACATAAGCAATGATCTGTAGACAGTTGAGACAGAAGCTTGTCTTGGAAAAACGATCTCCACTACCCCTGGAGCAATACTCTGCAGGAGACTGTGACTCTGTAGATCCACTTCATTCAAACACCATCCTTGTCATCGGGTATTTTAATAGCCACTCGGAAAATATAAAGAACAGAAGCTCATGGTGCAGTACCTCTTAAAATCGTTGCTTTATTAAAAAACTTATCACACTTACAAAACACGGTGTCCTAGCTGACACCAGCACAATCAGCATATCCAAATGCAAGAAAGCAGACCCAGCCTCCCAGAGCAGAAAAGTGTTTATGCTGGTTTATAATATGATCAGCATATTGCTCTAGTGAGTTTATTCATTTTTTTTCAGAGGTGGATACACTTGGTGGATTTCGTTTCAATTGTTTCATCATTACTATTATATATTTTTGGGAGTTTATATTTTTGATATGATTTTGTTTTGATATTTTTGTTTTTGGGAGTTTTACATGATTTAGTATATTTTAATATATTTTTGTCACGGTTATATATATTTTTTAATATTTTTTTACTAGCGCAGTCTATGTATTTTTGTACTTATATGCACCTTATTACACGATAGATTTTGCAGCTGGTATTCTTGATATACAATTTTGACTGTAATAATCATCACTATTATTGTTCTGGCACCACCTATATTTATTCATTCTTTCTAATGTACAGATAACCAGGTTTGCTATCATTATTTATTATTATTATTGTATTATTATACAGTATTTATAAAGTGCCAATAGTTCGCTCAGCGCTGTACATTACAAAGGGGGACAGAACATGTGACAGAACAATACCGATACAATGCAAAACATGAGGGGATCGAGGGCCCTGCTCTTTCGAGCTTACAATCTAGGAGGGAGGGGATGGTGGCACAGGAGGAGAAAGCTGTGGGGGATGGGGTGGTAGGGAGAGTGGAGGAGGTTGGCAAGTTAGCAGAGGGTGGGGTAGGCTTCCCTGAAGATATGGGTTTTCAGGGTGCACCTAAAGGAGAGGAGAGTAGGTGATAATGTGATGGTTTGGGACAGGGAGTTCCAGGGGATGGGTGACACCCTGGAGAAGTCCTGGAGGCGGGCATGGGAGGAGGAGACCAGGGAACTAGAGAGAAGGAAGTCTTGTGAGGAGCGGAGTGTGCGTGCTGGGCGGTACTTGGATATTAGGTCAGTGATGTAGTTCGGGGCAGTATGGTGGATGGCTTTGTACGTCAGTGTTAGGATTTTGAATTTGATCCGTTGCGCAATCGGAAGCCAGTGGAGGGATTGGCAGAGGGGGGTGTCGGAGATGGAGCGGTTGGAAAGGTGAATAAGTCTGGCAGCCGTATTCAGGATCGACTGAAGCAGGGATAACCAGCGGCGAGGCAGGCCAGTGAGGGAGGGAGTTGCAGTAGTCGAGTCGTGATATGATGAGGGAGTGGATGAACAGTTTTAGTGGTTTCTGGGGTTAGGAACGTGCGTATTTTGGCGATGTTGCGGAGGTGGAGTCTGCACGAGTTTGTTAAAGATTGGACTTGGGGCTGGAAGGATAGGTTGGAGTCCAGAATGACACCAAGTACTCTGGCCTGCGGGGCGGGTTTGATGGTGGCTTTGTTGGATGTGATGGAGAAGTCAATGGGGGGTGGGGTCCGGGCTGGGGGGAAGACAAGAAACTCGGTTTTGGAGAGGTTCAGTTTAAGGAAGTGGAGCGACATCCACTCTGATATGTCGCTCAGTAGGTGTGTGATTCGGGAGGAGACCGAGGGGGTGAGGTGGGGGGTTGAGAGATAGATTTGTGTGTCGTCAGCATAGAGGTGGTAGTTGAAGCCGTGAGAATGTATGAGTTGGCCAAGGGAGGAGGTGTAGATGGAGAAGAGAAGGGGAGGGGGAATGAGAATGTTTGCATGTGCTTATTTCTGAATCAATGCCAAACAGGTAAATCACCCCCCAAAAAAATGCTCGTAAATGCAGTATATGATATTGTTTGCAGAGAAAGGTT